ACCCCCTTTACTCCCCCCCTCCACCCCGCGTCGTGGCTCCGACCTCAGACTGCATCCTGAGCAGCCGCAAGTTGCGCAAGCAGCAGCCAGCAGAGCTCCCCCTGCCGACCGACGAGCAAGCGCGGCGTCTTTTGCTCCGCCGCAAAACTTTGGTCGTTTTGTTTGTGGCCGGCGCTTTGACCCCGTTCCCGAGCGGGCAGCAGGCGAGCGCTGCTGGGGCACGTGTGCGAGCCCTCCTGGGGGAGGAGGGGAGGGGGAGGTGGGGGAGCGAACAGGAGCCGGCCGCCACGCGTGTGAAACGGAATACAGTCGGCCGGGAGCAGCAGGCAGAGGGTCGGAAACCGGTCGGTAACGGGGAAGAAGCAATCACGAAATGCGTCGTCATTATTTCGCAAACAACTTTTGTTTGATTTCTCATTAGAGATGAATGCTGCCGAATAAGAAGACCCGAGGAATTAACGAAGAGAAAAGTGAGGGGAAGGGGGAGGGGGTGGTGCAAGGAGAGGGCTGGAATGTCCAATACCTTAATTCTCCCCCGCCCAATTCTCCTTGGGAAAGAGGAAAAACGTTGTGCAAGGGGAGAGATTAATGAATTTGCACGGGCGGGGCCGCGAAGGGCCGCGAAGGGGGGACTTCTTTATCTGAAAAATATCTGGAAAAAAATGACGTCCGGCTCCTTTGGCGCGGGCGCGCTGCCCTTTTTGTTGTGTTTCTTTCACGCAAACGGGCGTCCTTCCCTTTGTCGCGTTTTATCGAACGCATTCTAATCCCAGTCACTCGTCGATGTTGAATGGCGCTGCTGCTGACCCACCGGCCGGGTCGCGAGCGCGATATTTATCTAATCGTCGTAATGATGGGGCGAGATAAAAGAAAATGACGACGCTTTTCCTACTATAATTCACGATCAACTCGTAATGCTAATTTACTTTGAACTAGAAAGGGGTCGCCCCCTCCCCTTCCCCCTCTCTACTCTGCGCCGGTGGTGGAAGGTCGGCTGCCGCCTGGCTGGCTGTTGGCAGGGACGGCGAGGGGGCCGAACGAGACAGACGTGAAAGGGAAAAGGGATTATTCTCTGAGGAACAGGACCAATTACTCCTGGAAGTATTTAGTGAAGTACAGGCGGCGGCGGTGGCCTCTCGGGGCCTTCCCCTACTGGTCGCGACCCCCCCTTCCCCCTGTCCGTCTGGGTCGCCCTGTCTCGTCACCACGAGAGTGAATTAAACATAAGATGTTTCATTCTCTTCGCTCTGCCTGAGTGCCCCCGGAGCAGCAGAGTGGGCTGGCTTTAATGACGTCATGATTTTGAACCCCACTGCCTCTTGCGGCGGGGAAGGTTGGGGGCGTGAGGTGCACTATGCCCTCCCTCCCGCTGCTGCACTCCCCCGCGCGTCGACCGTTCTCCTTTAAGTCTGTTGTTTTAGTCGAACCACACACTCAATAACCCGGACCTTAAAGCTCCTGCCCGGCATCCTCCCTCCCCTCCCCTCTGCGCCCCGTCCCCGTCCCGTCCGGCAGGGGTTGTTGTCCTTCGGGTTGTGTTTCTCGGCCAGCGTTCTTAACTTTGTCCCCGCACTCCGTGCGCAGACTACCCGCGGGGACAAAGGAGGGCGTGGCGGGGCGGGGCCGGCAGGGAGCAGCTTCGGAGGGCTTTACCCGGCGGGACACTCGCTGAGTTATTGCCCCGCCAAGACATTGTATTTCCTTCTCACTGTTCCGCGCAGGTGCGAGCCCGACCAGCATGTGGTGCCGGCGCAACTCGGGGCCGCCGCCCGCCGACGTGACGGAGGCCATGGAGGTGGTGGACACTCAGGGCAACTGGAGGCCGCGGGGCCCGCTGCCCGGCGGCGCCGTGCCGCGCAGCCCGCTGCCCACCCGCTGCCAGATGGTCAAGGCCGAGCGGTCGCCGCTGCTGGGCCAGCTCGGCCGGCCGCCGGGGTCGCCGCAGCCCATCCGCAGCCAGCCCGTCTCCCTCATGAACTCGCCCATGCTGCAGCGCGTGGGCGGCGGCATGGGCGGTGGCATGGGCGGCGGCATGGCCAGCCCCATGGGCAGCCCGCTGCCCGTCCGCAGCTGCCACGCGCACTCGCGCGGCTGCCAGTCGGCCAACAGCTCGCCGCTGCCGATGCGCCACGCGCGCGCCGCCCACCTCGGCGGCGGCATGGGCTCGGCCATGGCGCTGCCCTCCTCGGCCACGGCCTCGCCCGCCAGGAGCATCCGCAGCGTGGCCTCGGCCGCCTCGTCCAGGGGCGCCTCCGACTCGGACCTCACCGACCTCGGCGACGACTGCAGCGAGGCGGCCGACCTGAGCGCCGCGGCCGGCGAGGGAGTCGCCGAGACCATCGTCGACGGCTGGTGCAAGTTCCGGGACAACAAGCGGGTGAGTCAGTTGCTTCTGTCAGTATGCCTGCCTGTCTGTTCGTGGGCGTAGGGCGTAGGTCTCTGAAGAGTCACCTTCCCCTTCCCCTTCGCTCTCCACAAAAAGAGGCCCTCTCAGTGTGCCCCTCTCCCCGCCCAGCACGTGGAGGGCACTGCTTTGTAATTAGCCGGGTGTCTGCGCGCGACGCCCGTATGTAGGACGGCCTGGCCACAGCCGGCCCGGGAAGGGTTGGGATAAGGAAAAGCAGGACCCCGCTGCCCGCACTGTCTCGTGTTTCTGCACGGACTGGAGCCACACCTTCCTGTGTTTTTTTGTTCTTTTTTCACTTATTTGGTTTGTCTTCTTTTTGCGAGGGTTTTGCGTGGAACTCGGATATAAAGCACGCGCGCGGTGCTGCGAGCAGACGAGGGCGACGGGGGTAGATTCGTCGCCAGCGGTCTTCGAGTGTAAAGCACTCTAGAAGTGCATAGTTGGTGAGGGAAGTGGCACTCTAAGTCGGCGGCCCCGCGCCCCTCTTCTGCACCAGGTGCCGGTCGAGCGCCCACCGCTGCACCGAGACCTCTACAGCGGGTCCAATAAGACTCTCCGTAATGTGACTGCGATGACAAATCGGTACAGAGGGGCCCACGCAGGCTTAATAAGACATACTGTACAAATGAAGGAATTAAGGCGCGAGCAGAGGGGAAGAAGAAGGACTACGAGAGGGGTTTGGGCAGAGAGCGAGAGAGGGGGGAAGGGGGCAGAGCAGGAGATAGATTAGGTGTGTCAGCAAACAACCCTTTCCTGCCTCCTGCCTCCTGCCGGACCCGTCCCATGGTAGAGCAGACCGGTCGTCTGCTGCTCGCCCAGGGCCCAGGTTCCACCCCGCTCCCCCTGTCCCCCCAAAACCGCAGCAGGAAAAAGCTCCTGGCGCCTCCAGAGCCGACACACCGACCTCTGCTTTTCTGCTCGATCTCTTGCCCCCTCCGCTACTAGAAATCCCTCTAACCCTCGCCCCACCTCGCATCCCCCCTCCCCCTGCTGCCCTCGGAGGGCCGCCACCGGAGGGCGAGGTGTAGCCCTGGGAATTCAGCCTTTTCTGAATACGTTGCAATTAGCCGTGTACAAGCGGGCGTTGTTCTCGCCCGGGGTAACTGAGATGTCCGCCGGTCGGCTGCCTGGTTGCCGGGGCGGCGCACAGCGGGCGTTGTCCTGGAATTCTTCGCCCCTTCTCTCTTTCTCCCCCACCTGCTGAGACATAGTCCGGGGTGGCGCAAATACGCCGCATAGTTTGCTCGCTTGTCATATAATGCATGGATAAGCTCCTTAATGTACAACAAGTAATGTTTCGGAATGCAACACTTTGAGTGGAATTGAACACAATCGTAGCAGGATTGATCTAGCTCTGTTCCCGTCAACGGCTTCCAATCTGCGGGTGGGTTTGTCTCTGACAAGGACGCCTTGTTCGGCGCCTTACGACAGCGAGTAGGCAACCCGCCCGCAAGTGGGCATAGCGGTACAGTCTAAACACTGAAGTGTGGGCGGAGCGAATCATCCGCCTGCCATGGCACTACCTTTAATTTATTTTCGTTCTACGCGTCCGGCGTCCGACGTTCACTGATGAACACTATGCTATACACCAGTTTTGGAAAATTGTTTGTTTTTTTTTTTTTTGTTGGGTTCCGCGGCTTCGTTGTGCTGGTTTGCAACTTTGTGTCGGGTTGTTCTGCTGCCCCGCTCTCCCCCATAACGACCCAGAGCCATCTCCTCGGAGCCAGCGCGGCAGGAAGGGTTGCCTTTAATGCCTGGCGCCCTGGCGCGCATAGCGAGAGCGCTGCCGCATTAAACGCCCTCCCTTCTTATTGGCAGTTACAACGACTGGCTTGTCCTATAAAACGTGCGCGCGGGCGAGGTAGGTCAGCAGGAAGCGGATGATGGACGCCCTGAAGACGAAAGACGACGACGACGACAGTGATGATGAAGGCGACGAAGACTTTCCCAACTGCCTGCTGCAAGTGTTTGAGCCGCGCGTCGGCAGCACAGGTGACTGACTTCCGCGGGGCGGGGGTGTGTAGTAGTGTGTGGTTGTGTAAGTACGGTACTTCCGCTAGTGTGTTTGCTCGGGCCGCTGAACGCTCGAGGGGGCGCCTTCAAAGCGGGCCGCTTATGCGTGTGAGTGAGTGTGTGCGTGCCGAATTTC